CGATACAGCCTGCAGACCAAGACGAAGGCGCTGGACTGTTCCTTTTTTTTTTATGTGTAAAAGAATTTTTTTTCTACCGGTTTTTTGTCGAGCTATACCAGTTTAAACATTCAAATAAATGTCAGCGCTTTTTTCTTAGGATAACAAGTTTTCCTAAAAGTCTTATCTCATGTCGCACTTATGCTTTAGAATCCAAAACTGCTGACCGACCTACACATTGGTTCCTAGTAACCATAGCAACAACGTAGTAGAGTTTGAACGAAATGTTTGGGGTGTTCACAGTTCGTTCCATCAAAGCACTCCTTTCTAGCAGTCGTCGCAAAACTTTACTGGTGTTGCCAGACATTTCTTCTTTGCGTCCATTTTTTATATGTCAACTTTTGATTTTGGTTCTAAAAAATTTTAATTGTTTATCTTAATTACCAATTGCTAATATTTGTTTATTATTTTTCTTGATTTGTTCGTTTTCAACAGCCAATGCGCTCAAATCAAATACAAATACGGAAAGGTCCCCCCTGCTGCGAGGTTGCAATATGTAGACGCGTAAAAAACATACCTTTGAGTGTGTCAAAATGTAGACGGCGTCATTTCCAATTTTGTATGGAAACCCACAACACCACAGAGTTTAGTTACAGAACGTCTTAAAACGTAGACTTCTTTATTTTGAGACACTATTTGGAACGAACTGTGAACAGCCCAGCTGACATATACTTTTTTCCTGGTACACTTTTAGGATTCATTCGGTATTCAAAATTCTAAATACAAAAGCAGTCATCTTCAAATTGCAATTCTCGGCCGAGAAAAAGAATTTGAAAATAAGAATTTCATTCTCCGTATTTGTGTGTTCATACCCTGCAGTAAATCGTGCTAGTTCAGGACTAGCGCAGAACTAGCTCATTAAGAGGCGGTACTGGTTCTCGATCTATCCCAACGCAATGCTTTCAACTGTCTCTTTTTACATGGCGATGTCCTACGAAGTGGAAATTGCCCACCTGGTTCCATTTGGACAGTTCTGGGACAGTAAGTTTTTCTATGAGAAAAAATTTTAAAACTCGATTATTAGATTATTTTTCTATTCTAAACTGGTTCCATTTTGGACAGATCTGCGACAATAAGTTTTTTATTTAAAAAAAAATCTGATTATTCGATTTATTTTATTTATTTCATTTTTTCTGTTATTTTACAGATTGCATTTTATTTCTTTTTTATTATTCTTTTATTTTCTTTATATTAAATTTGATCATTTTCTCTTCAATTTTAAAACGGCACTCAACAATTTAAATTTATTAAATCTGAAAATCACAACTGCCTCCACCGCGATTTGAACTCGCGACCAACGATGTTAGAGTCGGAGGTCTTCCCGCTGAGCTATTTGAGTATTGTACGAGACGTGAGAATTTGTGCATTTACTTCTCAACAGAGCGCAACTAACACACCGAGAGTTTCAACTGTCCCTCTCTGCAGCCGTTTTGCACTAGTTCAGAGATGGTTCTGAAATGTGTAGGGCGGAACTAGCGCTTTAAGAGACTGTCTCTAAATTTTACTGCCGGGTAGTTACATATGTATATGTACTTGTGCGGGGTTCCCGTATAACTAAAAAAAAATTTATTATAAAAGGTTTCTTGTGTTTACAAACTTGGGACTCGTGTCATTACCTTTTCGGAGCCAAGATACGTACATATACAGTATATTTTGCTTTGCTGCCTTTATGCTTAAGTGCACATTTAAGATACCTACCCCAAAATGTGCAGCAGAGGCATTATTTTAAACATTTATAAGGAAACTGCTCCGATAGATGCATTCAACATACCTGCACATTGGCGATACCTGCCTTAAAAAGGAACAGTCCAGCGCCTTCGTCTTGGTCTGCAGGCTGTATCG